AATAAATGAATAAATAAAGGTCAGAAAAACTTTAAAAATGAATAAATAAATAAAAGTAAAGAATTATTAGATATTTACTGATGTTCCCCTAGTCATTATTTAATGACATCCCTGATAACTTTCTTACTTTTAAGCCTCTATGCATGTTAGTAATATAATTATTTCTGTTTTTTAATATAAATGTGCTTTCAGAATTTCTTTTCCTGTGTCTGTTTACCATTAATAGTATTTTTAATTTTAGTTTTAGTGACCTTTATATCAGAAATAAGGGAGGGTGGTAATAAGTTAAAATTTTTCTCCAAGTGCAAAGAGATAGTCCAGGACGTAGGTGCTTGCCTTGCAATCAGCTGACCCAAGTTAGATTCCCGGCATCCCAGACGGTTCCCTGATTCCATCAGTAGTGATTCATTCGTGCACAGCATGACCGTGGACAGAATGAGCTCTGAACACAGAGGCATGGCCACTTAAAAAAAAAATATTGCCACTCAATGTCTCTTTTGCAAACCACAACACCCAAAAGGAGAGAGAGAGAACAAAGGGGAATGCCCTGCCACAGAGGCAGGGTGGGCTGAGGGGAATGGGGGGTGGGAGGGATACCGGGATCCATGGTGGTTGGAAATGGGCACTGATGGAGGGATGGGTATTTGATCATTGTATAACTAAAACCCAAGCACAAAAATTTGTAAGTCTACAACTGTACATCATGGTGTCTCACTAATAAAAATTTTTAAAAACTGTTGCCTACCAACTTTTTGGATGACCCTGGTCATCTCCAGCACAGCCAAGCTTGAACACAATGGGTTTTTCATAGCCTAGCACTGAGCGAGCCACTGGCCCAGATGGTTGAACAATACCAGGAGTGACTTCCAGGTCCCTGGATGCTGCTTGTCACCCACCCTGAATTACATGGTCACATTTGATTTATTCAGCTTTCAAAACCTTCATTATTTATAAATTTTGAAAGCAAAAAATAAAAATATTCCACTATCGTTCACCATTATATGGAATGTCCCTCAGTGTTCAGTGTCTTAAAGACCACTATTGGCTGTAGTCAGCCTATAGAGCTAAATCCCGAGCTTGATAAAATGTTTCCATTTGATAGACGAGGCATCATATTCTGACAGCCATTGTTCATTTAAACACCATAAAAGAAAATCATCATAGAAATTATGAAATTATTACAACAACCAATACTAGTTATCTCACTATTTCTGTAGATTGGAGATTTGTGTACGATTTAGCTAGGTGTATGGGGGTTTGTGTTCTTGAGATCAGAGTCACTGGATGGGAACACCTGTTCTGGCTTGGTGAGGTTGGTTTCTGCTTCATGCTAACTTGCAGGCCTGTTATAAAGCACATTAATTTTGCCATATGGTCAGCTCAGCCGGGTTTTCATCAACTTTGTAGCTACAGTTCAGCGGAGCAATCCAATGAATAACTGGAAAAGAGAATTCAAGATTTTAAACTTGTTATTTTCATGACCCAAACATGGAAGGATCATTTCATTCCTCTTGCTGTATAAAATTAAAGAAAAAACTATATAATCTTAAATTGTGGAGTCCACGTACTTCAGCTTAAAATTTGGGAATGTGGCTATTGGCATAGCCCTTTCTACCATTTTATATAACTTTGCCAGAGAAGAGAAATTGAAGTTTCTTTCAACTGTCAGTTTGAAAAATTGGGGAAATATGTCCATTGGACAGTGTGATTTGGCCAACTGTAAAAAGAACAACATATCTTTTTAAAATCCTAAATACAATGCTTTCCAATCAATCTGAAAGCATAGTGGCTTTGCAAATATGGGAAATGCTATAAAAATGATTATAAAATGATTACATACAATTATCTAGGGTCTTGTTTTCACAGAAAAGGAGATGATACTTGTGAATTGTTCTGTTAGTAAAAACTATTGGCCATAAAGTAATATTTGATATCATACTGTATCTGAAAAATTTTTTAAATAAATGAGAACAGGAAAAGATCTTAGTTGAATACTGATAAAACACTGCTGCTCACCATTCAGTCCTTGATAGCTACATATGCAAATCCATGTATCATATCATAACATATCAAGATATACAGTTGTATCTAAAAACAAATGAAAATAGAGCCAGGCACTTGAAGGAGATAGTAACTTTAGGGCTAGAACATGTACAGCATGTATGGCATTTGTATTGCATGCAACCACCCCGGGATCGATCCCCAGCATTCCAGATGGTTCCTGAGCACAGCCAGGAGTAATTCTTGAGTGTGGAGTCAGTAGCACTGCTGGATATGACCCACATGCCAAAAAACAAAAAAATAGAAACTTCAAGACTATTAGGAAACTACAACTAACAAAATATCAGCTCTAAGAAATTATTTTTATAACGGTTCTGCATCCACTTGCCTATCTAACCTAGCTATTTATGTATGTCCTGTTAAATTCTTGATTTATTTTGACATGAAACTACTTAAAATTGTATTTTAATTAAAGGTTTATATTGCTAATGGAGAGTTTCTATAAAATTACCACGAGACATTCATGTATGGATATTTCTACCAATAAAATAATTGATGACATATTTATTATACACCTTTATACGTATTTCTTAAGTTTTATATACTCTCTCATAATTTATTCTAAGTATAAACCAAAAATTTCATGCTTTCAGTGTACATATTTATTGTCAGACATTTAAAATAAATTTCTAAGTACCAATGAGACTTACAGAATGTATAGTATTTTACTGTTTGCCTGTAAGGATCCATAGTATCAAAGATAATAAGCACATAATGTCCATAAACTGGTTCTGGAGGTCTTCGGCTGCCGGAGTCCTGGTTGGGGCGGGGAGGGAAAGAAACTCAACCCACTCCCGTACAAGGGGCCCCAGCGAGGACAGCCAGGCATCGGGGCAGGAGACTCTGCACTGTTCTCTCCTGGGAGCTGGGTTTTATAGTCTCTGTGTCTTGGCCGTTAATGGGATTATACAGCACCAGGAGATCGGTTGGGTGTGACCCCTGCCTACTGGAATTTGGAGGATCTGGGTCGAGGATGCTCAGCCCCGATCCGAGCAGGCTTGGAGATCTCAGCCCCGGGACCCACATGACTTTGTTCCTCTGCTGGTACCTCCATGCTGAGGCCACTCTTTTCCCAGAAGAGAACAGTGCAGAGTCTCCTGCCCCCGTGCCTGACTGTCCTCGCCGGGGCCCCTTGGAGGGGAACGGGTTGAGTTTTCCTCCTTGCCCCAATCAGGGCTCTGTCAACCAAAGACCTCCAGAACCAGCCACCATGCTGAGACCACTCTTCACACACATGAAGGTACCAGCAGAGGAACAAAGGCATGCGGGTCCCGGGGCTGAGATCTCCAAGCTACCCGGATCGGGGCTGAGCATCCTCCACCCAGATCCTCCAAATTCCAGTAGGCAGGGGTCACACCCACCAACTGCTCCCCTGGTGCGGTGTAGTCCCATCAACGGCCAAGACTCAGAGACTATAAAACCCAGCTCCTGGAACCACGCAGCCACATTCCCAGCCATGCGATATCTTATCTCATTCCTATTTTGGACAAAGTGGCAAGCTACAGAATGTAACCTGCCCATACGGCAGAGTATGGCAAACTCCCTGTGGCGTACCCAATATGCCAAATACCAGTAACAATGATGGGTCTCACTCTTCTAACCCCGAAAGAGCCTTGAATATGGCACTTTTAAAAAATCTCAGGGCTAGGACGAAGGAGACGTTTCTGGGGCCTGCTCAAGGCAATCGACGAATAGCAGGATGGTCATGATCATGATCGTGATCGTTCATAAACTGCTGAAGTCATCATTAAGTTTTCATATTTTAGTCATTTATTTAAAACTTTATTGGTTTTATCATATTTTATTTTCTTTTTATTATTTATTTTATTGTTTTATTATTTATTCGGGACCTCTTATTGTTTCGTTCTCACTCTTGGAGAACACGGCAGGCTACCAAGAGTATCCTGCCCACATGGCAGAGCCTGGCAAGCTCCCCGTGGCGTATTCGATATGTCAAAACCCAGTAACAACGATGGGTCTCATTCCCCTGACCCTGAAAGAGCCTCGAATGTGGCACTTGCTAAAATCTCAGGACTAGGATGAATGGAGACGTTACTTGTGCCTGCTCAAGAAAATCGATGAACAACAAGATTACAGTGATTTTTTTGGGCACAACACCCTGCTCTGACCAGTGCTTCACCCACCTCTGTGATCAGGCTCTTTCATGGAGGGTCCCATGGGTTTTACACAATGAGGGCCATCAGCCCCATGTGAGATAGACACAAGGCACGATCCTTACTGGCTACACTATCTCTCTATCCCAGATTCATCACTCTCCTAAAGTACTTTAAATTCCTTCTAGAGAGTGGTCCAGAATATATGGTAAATAAAATTGTGAATACATTCACTACCTTTGTCATAGATTACAGCTTTTGCTAAACTTAATTCTATTAGTAAAAAAATAATAATCTTAGTTATAGGTTGACTAATTCTTTTCTTTCATTTTTAACAGTTGTCTTTGAGGTGCCAAAGATTGATCTGAGGGCCTCTTGCATGGAAAGCAATCCCTCTACCATTGAGTTAATTATATGATTTTCTTTACATTTTGAATTCCAACACACATGTATTAAACTCAAAGGTAATTTGTGGTAGTGGAATCTGTTGGTACTTATAGAAATATTTGGCAATTTCAAGTTATGTTCAATATAAAAATATAAACCTAATCTTCCTATTTTGCTTCTTTCAGCTATATTGTTAATAAGACATTTTATATTCATATATCTGTAAAGTGTTCCCATGTAGGATGCTTTATATATACTTAATTTTTATAATATACTATTTTGTATTTATTAGTATATAACATTCAAAACTGAAATAAACTGCATTGTATATATTATTATAATGCTCATTTGTGTATGCAACTTACATAGCTTAATTTTTATTCTAAGTCTATCACTGCACTGCCTTATGAAGCAAAATTAATATAAAATGTTTTTCAGAACACTATCAGTTGTATGTTCCTGAGTCAGCTCAAGTTGGTTCAGCTGTTGGGAAAATTAAAGCAAATGATGCAGACACTGGTTCAAACGCTGACATGACATACTCCATCATTAACGGTGATGGCGTTGGAATATTCTCTATCTCCACTGACAAAGAGACGAGAGAAGGAATCCTTTCCTTGAAAAAGGTAAAGAACTTATTGTTGGTGCCTTATCTATCTCACCCAGTTTTCTATAAATAGAAATTTGTTGGAGGCATGAATAATATATCGTTTAGGCCATTAAAAGATTTGCTCTTACACATAAAGTTGCAATTTACTTACAGTTGTATCTGACTCTTTAACTTTTAGGAAACACATCATGGTGTATGATAATAGCATATAGTCTGATATATAAGCACTGTGTTGTATGTAATACCCATCTTTGTTTTCAGATAGCAAATTTATTGTAAATTCTACTTTATTAATTAAATTATCGTAAAATGGTATCATTCCATAAAGTACTATCTAAGCAACGTGAAGAGATTTTCTAATGTAAAAATCTTGACCATATTTACTAATACTCATTAGGAGATAAATTATTCCTTGAAAGTAATGAATTCATGAAACACATTTTTTGAAACAACTAAGTCATTTATTCATTTTAATATTTAAACGGTTTTTCATTGGACTGACACTGTGACGATTTTTTAAATTTTTAAGTGGATCTGTTGTGAAAATGAATTGGAATACAGACAATTAGATATGAATTTTTGTGTTAGTTTGTTTTGGGGTTACACTGCCAATGCTCAGGAGTTACTCCAGGCTTTGTACTCAGGAATTACTCCTGGTCTGGAGGACTGTATGGGGTGCTGGAGATTGAACCTTGGTCTGCCAAGTTCAAGGCAATCAATCTACCCTCTGGCTCTCACCCCAGACAGGAAGACCTATATTTTTTTTTTCAGAAAGACTAGAGTAATGCAGAAATTTTTGTCATTTAAATAAGTACTTTCAGGATGGTTTACTAGAATGTGTCAAAACCCAGTAAAAAATTTGTGCCATTTTGTTTTTATATATATTGGTGTATATCTGTCTAAAATTAATTAAGTTATCTGTTTGGTTTTTTATAGTATTTCTTAATTACATAATATGATATCTCATTAATTATTTTGTAATCACTGATGCTACATTGACTTAAAGTGAAGGCTTGCTTGTTGTTTTTATGCACACATATTTCCAACAAACTAGAATATACAGTCTGGAAATGTAGTAAAATAATCATCATATGTCTATGTAAAATTTTATTATCCTCATTTATAAATTTTTATCATTTTAATCTTTCTATCTGAAGATAGTCAAATATGGGTAAATGGGTGATATTTTGATATCTTCATTTAACAAACGTGTGTGTTTTAAGTGCTTCTTATATACCAAGTTCTGTGTTCCATGAGTGATACAAGGATGAGCAGAACTGAAATTAGTTTATTCAGGGCGTACTCCTGGCACTGACCTTAGGGATCACTCCTGGTGGTGCTCCAGGACCACATAGGGTGCCATGGATAGAATCCAGATCGACAGTGTACAAGGCAAGCACTGTGTCTATTATATTCTCTTGCTAACCCTAAACTTTTTTCTATCTGCATAAATCTTCCAGTATGTAATAACATTCAGACATCACGTTCATCTCTACATCAATTATAACATGCATTTATATGAAAGAGTAATATACGGTGCTATTAGAGAAATATATAGCGTTTTGTTATTTTCTAATTTTTATTGGTGGATAATTGAGAGAAAACTAGACGCTGGTTAAATAAAATAAAGTATCAAAGGAGAGCCTAGAGAGAGAGAGAGAGAGAGAGAGAGAGAGAGAGAGTACAGGGATGAAGGCACTTGTCCTGTGTACAGCGGACCCACGTTTGATCGCTGGCACCACTCTGGTTCCCAGTGAGGAAGAGCACAGAGCCAGGAGTAAGATCTGAGCATCACCAAGTACAACTTATGTCTGAGCATAACCAAGTACAACTTATGTCAACTGCAATGAATAAATCAATGCACAAATAAAAGGGGGAGGGGCCAGAATTTATTTTTAAGTTAAAATGTAAAAGCATTCTGTGAAGAGAAAATAAAATGCATCAATATTCTGAAGTGGACAGGACACGGCACATTTATGGAATTAAACAATATTCTTTAATCCTTAGCCAAAAGAATGAGGCGTTAAATAATTTAATGATCTAATAAAGACTACACTAGACCTTGTTCAGTTTTATATGTTGGAAAGCCTTTGATTTGTCTGTTTGTTTGGTAGTGGGGTTGAACATGACTTCTCACACATGGAAAATATGAACTCCACAACTAAGTCACAGTCACAGTACCCTCTTAAAGACTGTTGAAGGAATCTTAAAAGGAAGTGATTAGCTCCTAGTAATCTCTCTGTGCATTCATATTTATATCCATTTACCTATCTATAGATATAAAGGTGATGTGTTTGTTTTGTAATATATGTATAGTTATCCAATCATTCATTATCCCAATATTTATCGAATGCCCACTTTGTATTAGGAAACATGATGTTTCTGTGTGTGTGTGTGTATATATATATATATATATATTGAGATATATATATATAAATTGGGCTGGATATATATATATATATATATATATATATATATATATATATATATTGGGCTGGAGCGATAGCACGCCGACCCGAGTTCGATTCCTCCGCCCCTCTCGGAGAGCCCGGCAAGCTACCGAGAGTATTGGATATGCCAGACACAGTAACAACAAAGTCTCCAATGGAGACGTTACTGGGCCCGCTCGAGCAAATCGACGATCAACGGGAGGGCCTTTACCTTTACCTTTTTTATAAATTGAGAGAGGTCAACAATGAAATAATCACTTCCAAATCACATATATATGTGTACATATACACATATGTGTTCATATACATGTATATTGCATGAAGGAAGCAAGATTGCTTTTTTGAAACTTGCTTAGAAAAATAAGAGAGGTGAGAAAGTGGGAAAATGTGTTTAACTGTGAACATAGCATCAAAGAGTAGAAACAGAGAAGCACATGAACAAAGAGACAAGCAAGAACACTATGTGTTCAAGGAAGAACATGGCCTTTAGAAGAAAGCAAATGTCAATTATTCTGATTAGCTGTTGATAAAATTACATGAAGGTAGGCTGTATTATATTCATGTATTTATTCGTCTATCAACGATGCTTGGTTCAGACATAGAGCTCCTGCAAGGCAAGTCTCCTGCTGAGGTATATCCCTGAACTAAGATGACTTTTTCTTTTTTAAAAACTGGGTCTCTGTGTTCTAAATTCTATCATGTTTTCTAATATAAAGTGGGAATTAGATAAGTATTGGAATAATGAGTGATTAAATAACTATATATATATAAATATATATGTATATGCGACAGCACAGTGGGTATGACGTTTGCCTTGCACACGGCCGACATGGGTTCGATTCCTCTGCCCCTCTCGGAGAGCACGGCAAGCTACCAAGAGTATCCTCCGCAAATGGCAGAGCCTAGCAAGCTTCCTGTGGTATATTCAATATGAACAGTAACAACAAATCTCACAATGGAGATGTTACTGGTGCCCGCTGGAGCAAATCGATGAACAACGGGAGGGAGTGTTTCAGGGCTACAGTGCTACATTATTAAATAAACACATCACCTAATGTTCATTCTCTGGATGGCTTACCCACTTGGGTAGATTAAATAAATGACTAATTCTTTTTTATAAAGGTAATCTTTGAATTTTAAAACACCAGATAAAAAAGAAAAAAAAGGACTTGCCAAAATAGTTCTGAACTAAATTTAATAAAATAGGAAAGATAGGAAAGTAGTTTACCAATGAAGGTAAATTTAGCAAAAGAATGAGGTGTAAAATAATGTAACAATAGATGAAGGCCTACATTAGACCTTGTTCAGTTTTATTTGTTGGGAAATTAATAATTAAAAAAAAACTCTATCAAAGCCTGGCAAGCTACCCGTGATGTATTTGATATGCCAAACACAGTAACAAGTCTCAGGATGGAGATGTTACTGGGCCTGCTCGAGCAAATCGATGAACAATGGGAGGACAGTGCCACTATAAAAGTGAATAATTAGGTTGATATTATTTGGATATGGGGAAAAAGGAAACAGGATGATTATCTTCTTCATCATTGTTAAATAATCATATAATAACAGAAACTAATATTTACTCTGTTAGGCAGGGTTTTTTTGTATTGATTTAGTTAGTAAACATATTATTGTGTCTTTAAATTGCACCAGGATATTATGAATTGGGGATTGTTACTGGTTTCACTAATAAAAAGGAAACAATTACAGTGAAAGATAAATAACAATCGACTGATTAAAAATCAAATTGAACTCAACAAGAAACTGTTTAAAAAAATGAAACTGGGAAGTGACATTTCAGTCTCTACTTTTTCATACTTACTACTTTTTCATATTTTATTCCTGGAAAGAAAAACAAATCTGCGTAACACAAAGTGACAAGAAAATGAAGGGGGGGCGGAAGGAGAAACATAACAATCCTCTTTTGCAAACTTATGATGGGATAGAGAAAAGATATGAAAGAAATACATTTAAATACAATAAAATAAAGATGCAAATTGTTGAGAATATGAAAGTGTTTTGAAATGAAAGAGCAAAAGGTTAATAGATATTTAAAAACAAAAATAAAGTATGATTGAATTTACAGCAATAGCACTAAGGAAGAGTCTGCAAGTATGATCTTAAGAAAATCAAAGAGGAGATAGTAAAAGCTAACAGTTTTATATAAGTTTGTAATAATCTATACAATTTACACTTGATTGCTCTCAATTACAATGTGGAAAATTATAAAGTATTTGCAGAGTAGCAAAGATAAAAGATGGTGTGAGCATACAATGGACCTAAAGTACTAGTATAAAATATGAAATTAAGAACAATGTGAATCTTGCCAGTCACATGTATGCAATTAATTTTAATATAGTCTGTAAAAATAAAGGTAAAATATTGACATATACAGTGCACTCATATATAAACTTATTCATGCTATATTTCTTCAAGCATGATGGGTATTTTAAAATGCGAATATTTCAATTGCTTGAGTAGTAGTAGATGTATATCAAATGAAAATTTTTAATGAATGAATTCAAATTGTCTTTCACACCTTTTTTCCCCAAGAAAATCAATGCAG